CTAGGAATATGCATTACACTGCTTGCATTACTGACCTTTTGTTTAGAAAAATACAGTAGAATATTCATGAGCGGGAGGCAGTGTCATACACAATTTTGAACAATAGACTGAAAGAGTGTTGAAGCCAAGGCAAGGTGGTGTGGTAGGATCATTGTTAGGCACAATCAACTGATATGCACTATTGCCTGGGCACTCTTCCTGTAATCTCCAACTTAAATTCCCTTTGGCTGAAGCAATCTTCCATACCGTAAACAGCGGTGAGTTAGAAAAGTCATTGGCTGATGGCGGATTCATTGACAAATCTGCAATAAGATTGATCGATCAGTTAGAGATCGATTGATCGGGCCTAACATCATCTTTTACAACACCTAGGCAACATTTGGACTTAAACTGCGTTGCGTTTGGCTTCTAATATGTTGAGCCCAATGCTGGGCCCAGTCACACATGTCAGATGGTCCAAAGGAAATACGTTTTTACAGACACGAACACACAAAAGCAAATGGGCCATACTGAAAACATTCAGCCAAATCCTCAGCATGATTTACAGTCTTCAACCTACCTGTTTTTCTTCCCCAACATGTGCAGGCATGGCAGGCATTACTGACATTGGTCTCGTAGAGTGACTGTATCCAATGGACAAAGAAAACTTGCAGCAGAGTCAACACGAGACAAAGCTTTGGGTTCAAAACCGACTGAATAATTTACATGTATCACCACACAACATGTACACGCACATGTACAAATCTATGACGTACAAACACAGTGACCGTCGATAACCATCCACAGCAGCCTGGCCAGTTCATCAGTCAGTAATTAGGCCTACATCATACAGCTGACATGCTGATGTACACTGGACATGTAGGCCTACATGTATGTAGTGTGTACAAAAAACCTGGGCTGCATTGGTAAAGTAATGATCAACTTGGCCTATACCAAGGTTCATCAACTGTCAGCATCACTCAGTCATGTCAGTCAACGACGGCTGGAATTCCTTCACAGCTTTAATTACTTTCTCCAAAACCGTGTTTGCCCTGTAGACTACCCCCGCTCATAACAAAGGAGACAGAGAAAGCTCCAATCGAAGACTTTCTTTTGTTGGGCGCCAAGACAAACAGCTGGCTGCGCTGAAGTCACCCCCGATATACCACACGTGCAGCGAGTTGTGGACCGTCCGCACCGAAACACGTGGCCGAAGTGTTACACTGAGCGGCTACTGTGGCTACAAATAATTATGCATTGTAGTGACTGACCCCACTTTCAACCCACAGGAAACCTCACCATAATGGATTACGATTAGCCTTCGGATCGCCGCCGCATGCACATGACGCACAAGGCAACATTTAACTGTGCAGTAAAGCATGCATGCATTACCGTCACACGCAACAGAGAGGTCAGGCGCCACCGGTGCATTTCCCATGCACGTTTCAGGGGCCTAGACGGTGACCGGTCATTCAACCGTGCATACCACATACGCTAGAGGGCACAAGGAGATTCTTGAGCCAAAATCTGCTTACCCTGCCTGCTCCTTCGGGATGTAGGGGCCGGTGATCAGTACGCGATCTTTCCGACACTTGGCCATTGCTCCCGTGATGATCCGCCATTTCTGCTCAAACAGCTGGCCCTATTGCGTCATTCACGCAGCGACCAATCCAACAGGCGAAAACTTAGCGCCTTTTTCAATTGGATAGAAGTTAAAGTTGCCATTTTACACGAAAGAAACAATTTTCCACTTTCTTTTAGTTCTCGTTTTAATTTATTAAGTTTCTTGCCATCAGACTCTTTTATATAGCTCAAATTTAGTGAACTGTGTACGGTTTATGTTAAGAATTATTGATGCACTAATGTGAGTGTTAATTGAAGAATTCGACAGGTGCACATATGCAGCCAGGCAATGACCTTTCTGCTACCTCGAGGCATCCATGGCACCCAAACAATGCTTGATGAAAAGATCAGACCGCATCCCAGCGGGCCGGGGTACAGGTGTTGATGATCGACAATTTTCGCTATTAACAGACAGTGCCACCGTCTGGCACCCAAGGGTATTTGCGTTGCGTTTTGCCGATAATTAGCAGCATAATGTAGGAGCCTATTGTGTCTTTCTACAAATAAGCTCTTTGCAGGACCACCTGTAGGCTGTACTAAGAACGAAACAGCAAAAAGTGAGCACAGTTCAACATTTTTGTCATTGGTCGTCAGTGAGTGACTCTTTCGACAATGGAGGAAGGAAAAGATTCGCAATTTTTAGTCCTAATTAAAAGTTTCACAAGCTATAATGACGGGACTCGGCGGCGCATGGTCTTCTGCAAACTGTCGATGCTTTCACTTTTTTTCTTCTTTTACCACTTAATGCCTCAGCGAAATCTTTGGTTTTACTGTTTACAAAGTGTAGAGAGACGAAAAGGAAATGCCCACCTAAACAAACAAATAAACAAAAGGACCAACAAACGACTGCTCATGCAGAAGGGTCTGCATATCATATGCGGCAAGGTATGAGACGGAGAGAAACCCCCCCCCCCCTGCTTTGTGTTGGTCATT